GATAGGATGTCAGAAGATATGCCAGATAGAATGCCAGAAGATATGCCAGAACATATGCCAGAAATTGCCAGAAGATATGCCAGGTAGAATGCCAGAAGATATGCCAGATAGAATGCCTATTGAATGCCAGAAGATATGTCAGATAGAATGCCAGAAGATTTGCCAGTAACAGATCGATAAATGTCATGGTGGGGATCACACGAAGTAAAGTATTTTTTTTGCACGGAGCAGATTGAAAACTGTTTTAAACTCCAATCGGGGTGGTCAGGTTGTTTTCTTGCCATCCAACAAAAGTTGTCAGCTTGGCATGTTGCATGCTTGGTGTTTGTCAGGCTGGACAGCCACTCTGATTGACTGCAATAAGAGGGTGAATGGAAACTCAAGATGTTGTTTCAGACTACGTATACACGACGTGTTGATGTGTTGATCGCATCTCTCAAAAGTGGTTTATTTCATGGATCTTCATGGCTATTGCTGATGGTGGACGTGGCGTGCTACACCCAACCTTGCCTGTAGTTCATAGAGCTCAGTGCCCATCGTGGCATGGCCACAACTCTGGTGATCCATTGTTTTTTCTCAGTGATCAATGCACATATTCAAGCACTCATTAGACGATTGATTTGTAATTGTATATATGGTTTGCCACAGGCCCGAAATTGCCAGTGCTCGACGTGTGATGACCGTTTCTTTTATCCGATCGCTAGTTGCTCACAAGGTATTGATACACCCATCCTATGTAATCTGCTGGCTGGACTGACCGATCCGCTACAATGTTTGACAGTTGTGGATGTATGTATACACATATACACGTTTGAACAAAAACCTGCAGATACATATTGAATGTATTTACGCATATATACTTCTACATAAAACACCTGGAGATACATATTTAACATATTTAGATATCCGATGCCCCTTGCATTTATTGGCCTATATAATTGGTTTCCGCTACAACACATATTTTGTCAACGGTTCCAACCGTTTTCTATTGCCACCAAGCCTAGTCTAGTCATGTCTAGTCGCGGTACACAACGTCGTTGCGCACTTGGCTTCACGGCGAGGTAATGACATATGCAGATGAAGCGATTGCATCCGTTTCTAACGGCAGAAACAAATGTTCATTGCTGCGGTGTCAAGAGATTGAAATTCTTCATCCAACTAATCCACATGTTGATCAAATACCATCCAAATAAACAAACCAAAAGAGTCCTATATATATATCATGATGTTATCTATTATATTTGTTAATATACTCTTAGTGAGATTGCATAATCCAATTTGTCAGGAGTTTCACACCGCTTCTCATCCAGGCACAGGTTGTTGGATAGTTTGAGAGGAAAAAAACGGGAAACCTCTGGAGTTTTGGTGGTTGATTGCTGATTTATTGCTGATTTATGGTGATTTAATGGTGATTTAATGGTGGTTTCATGGTGATTTATGGTGGTTTAATGGTGATTTATGCTGATTTATTGCTGATTTACTCGAGACATGCTGGCAAAAATTGGTGATTCATTCAGAGAATAATCAGAGATTCGTGATTTAACGTCAAATTTTTGAGAAATATATACGAACATGTCAACATGATGAGATGATCGCTAATTTCATTTCATGTCAAATTCTTATCATTTTAAACAAATAAACAACATGTACGAAAGTTTTGTGTATCAGTGTATCACCAAGCTGCCTCTTCAAACGAGTGTCTGAAATGGATGGTCACATCATGGCAAAAATCAGTTGTTTTTTGTGTTTTGGGGACTTGTGTTTGGCAAAATCCTACCTGTAGATTTCAGAATGGTCTTACTAATGAAGCATGACTTAGACATATGATCAACATGTTGGGGATGAAACTACTCAAGAAGCACCTTGTTTATTGTTATGGTTCCATCAAAAAAATCCAGTCCCCTACTTAGTCAGGGAGTTTCACAGGCGCACGGGAAGAAACCACCATGTTTTTGATTGGGAATGTCATGGTTCTCTGGAGATTTTCTGACCTTTTGGTGATCAACTCCCACTTTTTGTTGATTGAATCAGCATGTGTATTGCTAGACATGCCTTTTTTTTTGGGGTTAAACCCTGATGTTCATCCATCTTTATTAGATCAATTATATGCATAACATATATATATATAATATGTCGTGCTTTTTATTATATATATATGATTATATAAATATATATAATCATCAAGTTCACATGCCATTGGTTTTTGGTTGATAATATGCTATTTTCATGGAGAATCGCCGTTTTAGGTCACACTTCTCCAGACGGTCAACGGTGTCAGGCCGAAGTGGCGGCAGCCAGCGCCTTGCTGGAGGTCGATACAATAGGCTGTATGATTTGTGTATGTCTATTATTTATATATGTATATATACATATATGTATACATATTTTGTGTACATTATATAAATACAATAGATTAATATACTCCAATTATTAGATTGATACATGGACGGATAGATGGATGATGATGGATGGATAGATAAATGGATAGATAGATGGATAGATAGATTTACAACATAGGAAATCTATATATATATATATGATTTAGATATCTTGGTAATATATAACGACCTCAACTAAAATAACGCTATATTGGGATAGTTACCCCTTAACGATCATTTCAGTGAGGTCGCGGTGGCGCTGGCCGGCCCAGGGAAGATTGTGAGCCTTATTTCAGCTTGGTGAATTGTTGTTATTTACCCAGAAATACATAGAAAAATGCATGTATATAAATAACATGTGCATCAATGTGCATTATATAGAATTTATAAAATGATTGAAATACTCTAATGTAAAATCATATTTACATATGATGAATATATACTAATTACTGCAAGAAAAATATATGTGCGTACATGTGTATGTATATATACATTTATATATATATATATGCACAGCTATGCAATATATATATATATACATTATACACATACACAATTGCACAACATACTTATATGTGTGGTATAGAAACGTACACGTAAAGGCTCCAAGGATCCAATCTTTGGGGAGCATCTTGAGTCATTGAGGATACCGAGAGCTACCTCTGCAGCACCAAACACAACAACGAGCTTGGCAAGATCCTAAAAGTCAACACGTATCCACAGTAGAAGTGTGATGTCAACGCTGGGTGATCAAGCATAATCAAGCCCCCTGGAGAAGATGATATCAAATTACCCTCTGGTAAACATACAAAAAGCTATTGAAAATGGCAATTTATAGTTGATTTTCCCATTAAAAATGGTGATTAGTTTACCAGAGGGTATATCCTGTTCATATCATTGGATAGTTAGCTTGACTCAACATACCCTCGGGTAAACTAACAGTTCGCTATGGAACAGCACCATTTTTCATGGGTAAATCCACTATTTCTATGGCCATTTTCAATAGCTTTTTGTATGTTTACCAGAGGGTAAAAAGAATAAATCATGTTCCTCTGGCCAGCTTCAAGTCTGTGACGACCTCGCTGCCACCTCACTTTTTGATGTTGGTTCAGAAGGGAAATGATCCCCACAATAGCCTTAATTCAGGTGAGTGGAATATTATACTTCATCCACATAAATATATATATATACAGTATACATACAAAATGTACTGTACCTGATGAGAGTCTATCTTTGTAGGTCCTGCACAGTTGCTTGTTGTTTTTGATTTTGTTGAGCGTTCCACCCCCCGAATTGTGATGACGACCAGGCAGAAGCATCACGACTACCCGATATTCAAACCCAGGCGCAAGGGTAAGGGGTCCACAACAATGCGGGCGTGTTTGAAAACCGGGGTATACCCCAATTCCAGAGCATTATCATATATTATCATCATAAATTGAAAATATTGACGTGTTGGAAGAATATTTTTACGGAATGCTCTCTGGTGACGTAACATGGATGAATTCATCATCCAGGATGGCTCAGCTCCGCATGGCCATGAAGATGGTGATGGTCATGGCTTCGGCTGAAAAAATATGGGTATGCCAAAATCATTAAAAAAAATAGTTGAAGTTTCTGAAGAGTTGAAGACGGAGTCTAAGAGTTTATCATAGCTTATCATTGTTTATGCCCTTGTTTATCTATGTTTATCAGACATAATGTACATAATGTTTCATATTTCCATGGAAAGAATCTTCCTTTGGTTTGCGGATGTCTGGGGTATGCTTCAATTATTCGCAACTAAACTGCACGATCGCCATGGTCTTAGTTTCAAGGGGTGACCTTGATTCATGAAATTTGAGAGTTGTCCAGTTGGGATTGGTTGAGTTTGTACCATTTGCGCCGACAACAAAAATGGGGGTCAGATTCCCAGCGTTTCGGGTTCAGATTTCCCCATCAATCGACCAATACCCCCTGGATCCCTCTGGTAAAGCTAACAGTTCACTATGGAAAATCACCACTTTTCATGGGAAAATCCACTATAAATGGCCATTTTCAATAGCTATGTTAGTTTAAGTTTACTAGAGGGTACTTTTTATACCGACCTGCGGTCAGTGGGATCCAACCTGCGGCAGTGGCTCCAGAAGATTGGAGCCCTTCTTGGGCCCAGTCAGTCCAAGTAGGAAGGGATGGCACGGATGACGCGTGTAGACAGAACTGGTAGCTTCCAATGAGAGATCTCGGCATTCCGTACATAAACTTTATTCTATATTGATACCTGATATCATTGAAATATCATTTAGATATCCAAAGATTTCCAAACATAGACTATGATGAACTTAGAATAGTTCTAGACTATGATGTTTATAGAAAGTGGGCACGGGATCAGTAGCCAGGTTTACGCCCGCTGAAAAGGTCGCTCATTTGCCATATGTTTTTCCTTAAACACATTGATTGAATATCATTGAATCATACTTCTATCATCTTCTATCCCACAACCCCAAAGTTGTTTTTTGGTGAACTCATGTTACTTACCATTTTCCTGGTCAAACTATGATTTATAGTCTGATCTTTGTGTCTTGTAGGATTCTGTCAGGGATCCATAGGTCGGGCCAGCCGATAGCCGCTTGGTGATACTCCATGGGGGCTCGCTTCCATGCGTGGGACGGGCGGAAACGTGGGAGGCGCCGGCCGGGTATGCCTTGGCGCCATGGATGTAATGGATCAACAATTCATGATGATTCAATCTCTACTAAACGCAGACTGATAGGGTGTATATATATAATTATCTATGTATATATAATTATATATGTGTCTAATTATATATATATATTTAATTATATATATATACTGGTTGCTTAAAGGGATTGTCAAACCAACACATCCTGTGGTTTCTAATCAGTTTCCCATGACAATTGCCAGAAATTGGGGGGGTTCTTTCCAGTTGTTTTATAGATGTTCTTCGCGTGAAACCACAATAACACCCAATACGTAGAGAATATTGAAACATATTGAAACATATTCAAACAGATTGAATTAATTACACATGACAAACATATCCACAAGTGTTGTTGATCTTACCATGAAAACTTGAACCCCATGGAGGTCCTCTGCCGTGGATTCCACTTTGAAGAGAGCCAGGTGCCATGGTGGATTTGGGGCTACCCCCACGATACTACCCCCAAGAAAGATAGATAAGTAAATGATCACCATTATTAATGTGGCAATTGACTGTTCTATCTTTTTCACAGTTGCCATCTATACATATTAATATATATATATATATAGAGAGAGAGAGAGACATAGTGTGGAGATGTGACCAAAAAAATGCTATAATCAGGATATAGTGGGATATAATTTAATGGTATATCTGGCTGGATGGTTGTTAATGTTGTGAGATTTTGGGGGATATGACCAACAATGTGGGGATTCAATGAGATGCACTGGGGATATGACCAACAAAGTTTCCACGATTTGATGATATTCATCTTGACCCAGGATTCTGCGAAACCGCCAGTTTATTGATGAGGGAGTACCAATTTTGATAGCACTGTTGGCCATTATTTTGGCGGTAAGCCTCCAATAGTTGAGTTTATTAATCTGAGGTTAACATTGCCTTGTGAAAAAATCGCAGGGTAAAGTTAAACGGGATTTTCTGGATGTTCATCGCGTGATGATCTAGAGGTACCCATCCTATCCATCACCTTTTAAGATTAAAACTATTTGATGAATCATGCTGTAAATATACACATTCCTTACATGTGGCAAATATGTATTTTTGTTGACGCGTTTGAAGGAGTTTTGGGCACAGATAGCCAATTCTATGTAAGTATGACCACGGATTATGTCTTGGTCCGTTCATTGGAACGCTCACACACATACGCATGGGTTGGCAATCTTCAGCACGCCGAAGAAAACACAAGTAGATTGGTATCTAAATGGAGGTGGGTCAAAACCTATGACTTTCATCAATTTTAGTGACTTTAGTGGGATGAAGATCTCTTTACCAGCTATTTTGATCTATTTTGAGGTTCACTAGGTACCAGGGTGACTAGCCATATGATTCCAAGGGCGCCCAGGTTGGAATTGGAGCGGCCGATTCCAAAGCCCTTGGAGAAAGGCACCGCTGGGCCGCTGGAAAAGTCGACCCGTGTTGTGAAGGCAACGTTCAAGTGGCCATGATACCCGTGTTGGGATATGTTGGGTATGTATTACTGTATATTTATGAGAGATTCTCAAAGTATATTGTATAGCTACCAGCGGTATTTATGAAACAGTATAGCTACCATCTGGTTATTTAGCATAGCCATGGAAAATGGCCCATTTTATAGATGATTGTCCCATTAAAAGCCTCCACTTATAAGGGATTGTCCATGGCTATGTTAAATAACCAGATGCTATGTCTATATGAGATCTGTTGGTCAAAGTTCAGCTCAGCATCCCGCCACAGCATAGCAAATCCCAGGTCGAACCCAACACCACCGTAATGGGAAACCCATATTTCCCTACGGGGGTCCCTAAACCCTCCAAGCCATTACTGTGGTTAAAACAGTGCCATAAACCATCCATGACTGGGAATGGTAAACATCGCACCTATAAAAATGGTGATGAATTGGGGATGGTTTATGAAATTGTTTTACACACATTATTATTACAAATACATGATAGCCACGACGGAGGGGAAATGGTGATTTTACCTCTCTATTTACCCAATTTACTTCCCTTGTACCTGGGCGTTTGGAGAACCTAGATTAACATATGTTTGAGATGATGGTCCCATGTAAAAAGTATGCCGCATGATGTTTCCAACTGTTGATTCCATGTTAGGGTAATCAAACATGACAATGGACAATGGCCCATTTAGTTTGATTGTTTACTTAGTTTACTTATTAAAGTTGCAAAGTGGTAAATTAGAAGTCATGGGATTAGCAACTGATTTGCTGATTGCATTGCATGATGTTTTCCAGTTATCAAGTGGAAACATGCTACATCATTGTATAAGTATAATTGTATTGTTATTATCGAGTCATTTTCAATTCTCAGCTTGGATGATTCCATTCAAGTACCAGGCATCCAGCAGCTGTACGACTTCATGCCCCTGGGTAGCGCAGATTCCAATGGGTCAAAAAGGTGGGAAACAAAGCCATGGAATAATTACCTTTGCATAGTTCGTCCAACATGTTTCTTAAAAAAACATAGCTTGCATAATTCATAACTCGCAGGTGATTCTAAGCTTGGATGGGAATTGGGAACACTTTGGAACCAGATACTGGTATTTCACCCCTTATATACACATGATTAGGATTCGGAAGGAACAGCTTCGTACTGTGTGATTCAGCAGTAGGCACCCATGAATCTTATTCCTTGCATGCATGTGGGTCAGACATGGGTAAGTGTAAGTTTCATGGTACCTACAAAAGAAGGAGCTGCCCAGCATGCCAAGTACTATAGAAAATACATGCAAATACGGTTTTGACTTCCATTAAAGGAGTTCCAGCCCTCAAACCTTCAAGACAGAATATCACTGTGGGTTCGTCAATCTATGAGGTCTTGGGTCGTTTTAACATATACCGGTCATTCCAAACACATTTTAACTTGCTCATTGCAAAGCTTTTCTACTCCGAAACAGGGATTTTCGGATCATGAATAAATCTTTGACATCATGTCGCACGGTAACCCAGACATGGTTTGTTGTTGCAGCATATTGGTTTCTGTGCTGGATTTGCTTAGTTTTGATGGGCCTATTGGTAGTTTTCCTCTCTTGCCTGATGGCTGAATAGCATTTGAAGGCTTACTCTGTGAGTATTTTGTAGGAGAGGTGCATTTTGAGAAGCTAGCAATTCGCATGTCCAGTACAATTGTTGCCTCTCCTTTTTTGTTTTGGGATCCATTCTTGATGTGAGATGCCCACAACAAGAAGACATTGTTCAAGAAAAGAGGATATGTTGTTTGAATAGTGTTTGCAATCCCAAGGTGGTTCATTAGAAGGTGGCTCATCGCAACAAAGCCCAACAGGGGAATCACTCTGCATAAATAATAGGAAATCAGACTTTATGGGAGCACACAATTAAAAAAAAGCAACATGTGAGGGAACAAGCACATATTCATAAGTAATTTCAAGCAAGACATATTGACACACAATAAAGTACGATCAACTGGATATAGTAAACAAAGCACACATAGTGTATAAATGATGAAAACACATTCCCAAAAACGATACAAAATACAAAGCAATGGATCAACATAGGACAATACACAAACAAACACACAAGAAACACATTGAAATAAATTGCAAAACAATTACGAAACCAATGGGAAACCATAAAGGAACAAAATAGTAAGATTAATATGGTGCAAAATACACAACACAAGCAATCGAACAGTAGGAACACATTTTGAAAAAAAATACAAAGCTGAAACAAACATGAAACATACTAGTAGGGGAAACAGAGGAAACCATTTGAAACAAGGAAAACACACAACATTAGAAATGTGCGTAATATATATATATATATGTACATTGTGTGAAATTTGGGTCCTGAAAATTGATTTTGTAAGATTTCTCTTTCAACCGTGAAGGGAAATAGGAACACAGATAAATATACACAAATAAATTGACTAAACATGTGGGAACTGGGCACTAACAGAACAGCAACAACAGATACCGGCACATAACAAAAAAAACATATGACTTAAACATATTACTTTATTTGACTGGATACCCTCCAAGGGACCTTCTAATTCAAACCATCGACAATAGCCAGAACTTGTACTTTCAGATCAATATATACTGTTTGGAGGTTTCAAATCATATCAGATTCAACCATATGGGTTTGAAAATAGGGTACCCGGGTGCCCTCATGTTTGATGATGTATCATCATGTTCTTCCTTTATCAAAATGGCGGAAAAACTAGTATCACATTTTTGGACTACATAGTCCATACTACTCGGAATGATCCCAAATTGATCGCTAATCGGTAGTCATTTTTTTCTGGCTGGGTGCCTCAACCACAAAGCCGAATCTGCCAAAATCGGAAGGGAAACGTTTGGAGGAACCCAGGATTTTTCACAGTAAAACTCCATGGGTTTCCCATTTTCCGGGCAAGATCAATCTTATGAATGGAATATAAAAAAGCACGCATTTTAAGAAGATTTCAATGATATGCATATATAGTATATATATATATATAGTATATATATATATATACATAAGTTCATATACCCTCTGGTTATTTAACATAGCTTTGGAAAGTGGTCCATTTATAGATGATAAACATGATGATTTCCCCTATAAATAGCTGGTGATTCTCCAGTTCGCTTTTCGTAAATAACCAGAGGGTGTGTATATATATATATATATATATGGAGGTTTCCTGAAATGGGGGTACCTCCAAATCATGCATTTTAATTATTACTATTATAAACCATCCATTTTGGGATACCCCCATTTATGCCAAATGAGTGGAGTCCCAACTTAATCCATCCATGTTCACCTCGCAGACTCCAGGAATTGTCGCGAAGCCATCCGCCGACGTCGAGAGAAGGGTGTTCAGGGGGCCGCCTTGTACCAAGGACACGTCGCAGGGATGATCATATCCATCAACCCTTTGGTAAACATACAAAAAGCTATTGAACATTGCCATTTTATAGTTGACTTACCCATGCTGATATATGGTGATTTTCCATAGTTATGTAAACGTTTACCAGAGGGTATCCCATGTTTAATGGGATATGAATGGGATATCAATGGATATTACGGGATGATATTAAGGGATGATATTATCCTTGACATCCCATTAATATTGGAATATCCCATTATCCATGATTATTCCACTATTACTCCTTAAACTCTGGTAAGTTATATCCTCAACATCACAACTGATGTACTATCCCATTATCTCAGTAATATCCCACAACCGCCTCACTGTAGCGGATGGTAGGGTGGATTATCCAAAAGCAAACGTATTTCTGCTTGGGAATTGTAGTAGTTGCCCATGTATATGCAGTCATAGAGATACTTGCCACGCTCTGAACATGCACGACACGTGGAACTATATTAAGCTCAAATGAGCTGCAAGAAAAGGGTTTCTGAAACCTAAAGGGCAAGATCCAACCGCCAAGTTGAAGGTTCTTGAGACAAATATTGTGTATAATTGTGTATATATATATAGAGAGAGAGAGTAGGCGCTAAATACTAGACCACATGCAGTTTTGTGTCCAAGACCAACATTATTTTACAGACATTCTTAATTACTTGCCGTTGGTTTCAATCATGTGTTATTTTCAACCCTATTTAGGCCGATAATCTCAACTGACTTATATGTTGAGGTATGTTGAGGTTGAAACCACTAACCAGGTTAAGTGTGGATAGTTATTTAATTGCCTTCGGCAAGCCCGCCGGCCATAGAGAGGTGGCCCCAAGGGAGTTTGATGTGCACTCTAGATGGAAGCCAGAGAGAGAAGCAGAAGAGAAGAGAAGAAGAAGAAGAGAAGAAGAAGAAGAAGAAGAGACGAAGACAGAGCCCTAGATCAGAAGCAGCTTGAGTAGCAAGTGCGTGCGTGAACAGCCTATGGACTGCATACCACATGAATGCCGGCCGATCAGTTTAGTACCCTGTGCGTCCTGGGTAGTGCTGTAGACAGTGTCATTAGCTACTCGCACAACCAGTGTAGTACTTGGGGAAGAAGGAAGGAGTATAGGACCATAGGAGTATAGGAGTAGGAGTAGCAGGGGTAACAGTAGGAGTAGTAGTATTAGTAGCATTAGTAGTAGTAGGAGTAGCAGCAGCAGTAGTAGTAGTACCAGTACCAGTACCAGTACCAGTAGTAGTAGTAGTAGTAGTAGTGGTAGTGGTAGTGGTAGTGGTAGTGGTAGTGGTAGTGGTAGTAGCAGCAGCAGCAGTAGTGGTAGTGGTAGTGGTAGTGGTAGTGGTAGTGGTAGTGGTGGTGGTGGTGGTGGTGCTGGTGGTGGTGCTGGTGGTGGTGGTGGTGGTAGTAGTAGTAGTAGTAGTACCACTACCAGTACCAGTACTAGTACTAGTACAGTACTTTTACTTGGATAGGCTTGTATACTACTAGACCAGTTAATTTGTTTTGGATGGACTTGTTTATGTCCTAAATTGTGCTGCCCCAAAATCCAATTCTCGAATATTTTCCCGATAGAACGGCTGTGAATCTCGAATTAACTGTTTGGATGAAATGGCACAGTGGGTTGTCTCCAAATCCGAAACCCCAATCCCATGGTTTATCATCATTTTACCCATCAAAAGTATTCAAAAATGTTATTTTGGTGGTGTCCCTTTTTTTTTGACACCCAACTACTGTACCATATGTTGTTGATTGTTATATATATATAATTTATATGTGTACAGTATATCCCTGCTTGGTCTCCCATTTGCAGATCTTCGGTTTAACGACACCATCTCCATTTCTGTCAGGGAGAAACATTTGCATGATATGTGTTTTTTCCCGTTACTATCCCGAATTTAAAATGTTTGGGACACACCCAATAATCATGTTGCTGGTTTGTGTGTGTGTCTCATTACTATCACCATAATGGCTGGTATAGCGTCTGAACGATCCCACATTATTACCTCCTTTATTGTTGACTTAATTGGTATTGTATTATGTTTATACTAATCATAATTACCAAACATACCCACTACATCCACATATATATATACATATATATATACATATATATGAAAATACGTATGTATACAATGGTATGTTAACCTAAATATAATCCCATTGTGGTTAGTATAACCCATGACGTCCTTCTCAGGACTTCCTTTGGAATTTGCCACATATTTTCGACGATTCTGCTGCCCCAACGTTCACCGCTACCATGATCGTGACACGGCGGTGAGTGGCGTGTAGTGACCGTGAAGTCTACAGTTGGTTGGTTCTTGATTCAATTAGCGATATTTGACTCATAGAATTCTATTTGATTCATACACATACATATATCTCAAGATTCCCAGGAATCTATCACTATTTCGGTCCATTTTTTTCCATGAATTTCTTGTTTTTGTTTTTTCTCACTCAGTTGTTTTTAAACCCAGCCATCTAATGAGCATATCCATCATTTAATTGTCTGTGTATATATATAATTATATATATATACATATATTACCATTAAGTATATCCATTGTATTCCAATGATATATTTTCGATTGTAGCATTATGCATTCCTATGATTTATTTCCGTATACACTCCCATCTATGATTATATATATATATATATACATATGTGTTTTTCAAAAATACCCCAACCCTCCAGTGGGTGGTATATATATATATTGCATTTATATGCCCTAGGGCAAAGTAACATAGATGTGGAAAGTCCATGGTTTCCGGTTCGAAAATGATCTCCCCAGTGGCAGCTTGTCAACTTCGTGCGTGACGCGTTGCTACGCGTTGCTGCCGAAGGCACCACCATTGGGTTGCATCGCTTCTGTGCTGCCGAGCGCCGATGGAAGCTGTGTCAGACTGATGAGGACTTCTGCAAGACAGACAGATATGTGGAGGACATATTTATTTAAGATTATGTTCCATATTATCTATACTATAATATATATATATATATTTATGTATGTACTATATATGCATAGAAATGTCATACATATGTATATATATATATATTGGTATTATTATAATATACCTATTTATTCACAGATCGATAAAATAGGAATCACGAAAGATTTTTGAAGGGAATGTAGCTATGAAAAGGGAAAAAAAAAACGTTTGAAACCCAGCCATTTTAGGGTAATGTCTATTGCGATTGGGATATACATATAAAACATGTTGGTAATATATATATATATATACAATATCTGGTTGGTGGTTTCAAACATTTTTTCCATAATATATGGGACAATCCTTCCCATTGATTAATATTTTCAGAGGGATTGAAACCACCAACCAGATATGTATGTGGAGGGGTCATTTAATGAATTGCCTACTGAGAATGTGTAATGATTCTTGGTCGGGCAGGTGTGACCAAACACGTAGCACGGGTTGTATAATATCGTATGGTTGATGACATGTTAATGAATGCGAGCATCCGGCAACATGAAATTCCACTGATTAGTAGGATGAATAGGTTTTTTTGGTGTCCCAACCAGAAAATTGACAGGAATGGTGGGAATCCCGGAATCCCCTATATAAACAGAGGTTTTCATGTGATAATCATCTATCATCTATCAATGGGGGAATTTCCATTCCCATTTTTGATTACTTGAGGGTAATTACATTCAATCGGCATGGTACTGTGGCAGGAACGAATGCGGCTGAAACGATTGCTGGTTCTGAACTTTGCTGTCTGGCGTTTCATTGGAGGAACCGTTTTATTTGCTAGTCACTTGGTGATGATTTCAATGATGGACCATTGCGGGTACTCTTTTAACGTCAGGCTGTCAGAACTCGAAGATCGTGGAGTTTGCAGATGATGTTTCAGCACATGGGTTGGACATAGGAAAAAATCTGAGGTATGTAGCAAACAAGAAATCGTCAATGGCTGGCGATGATAACCTCTGTATAGATACAGTACTTGTACTGGGGATATTGGGGTGTGTGTGTGTTTGGAATATATATATATATAGTTATATAATACGTACACTATGCATGCACATACCGAAGGTCTGTGTAGAGAGCATCACCACCAGCCATTTGTTGTTTGACTCGCATCAGAGATCGGTGGAGCAGTCAATCAAAAAATATTGTTAAAAAAAACATGGTACATGCCAAAACCCAAATTCCATGTTCATCATGTTCTGTTCCAGAACAACAGAGGGTCAGACGGTCAGTAAGTTAGCCAAGTTGCTGCAATTTGTCTGGCAGGTGAGGTGGGTTTCTTGAACGGCTGGGGCGAGGACCAAAAGAGGACGCGTCGCGGCGGCGCGCATGGTCCGGGTCAGGTAGATTTGGCCGTGGGTCCAAGATGGGGCCTGCAAACATACCATGGGACCATGGTTTGATACTTCAGTTGGGTTCCTGCTGCAGCAACATGGCCAGGTGAATGGGAGTATGCAGTTGTTCTATAGTCAAAATCCATTCAAACATGGTCGTGCTGGACGGATCGTTAGAACTTGACAAAATCTTTGTGCAGCGGGTGGTAACATATTTGGTGCCAAACATATTGGTTGGTTCATTTTGCGTTCGAGCCGCCACTTCTACTCCCGGAAAGGAAGGTTTTGGAATATGCACACCATACAAATCCTTCATTTATTGGGGAACAAGTAGTACCCTTGGAATCTCAGGTAAAACCTTTGCCCTTGTGCAACTACCGGCATGTATTGAAGTGATGAGCTTGTTGCAAAGACCGTGGCCGGCAAGTGTGCAAAGATTGTCTCTTGACAGATGCTACAAAGGGACAAGGGCAATAAAAGGTGGATAGGAGGTGGCTTGACTTTGGATCTGGAAAAAATGTCAGTGATTAAACGAAATGACATCGCTGCAAGTATACCGCATACATCCGTATACAATGTTCATTAAATTTAAATGACACCCGACACGGTGGACATGGCAAACTTTTCCGGGTTTTGATCCAACTGAAAGTCACTTTCTACAATCGGGCTGAAATTATATTTGTTCATTGCAAACTAAGCCTTTAATTTAATGAAGAAAGTTGAAGAAACATCCCCAAGGGCGCATTGACGCAAATGGTGTGAACTTAACACATGGGCATTCATGATGCCAAGCGTTTCGGATGTTGGCAGGTGTGATTTTCTTGCAATACTTAAAGTCTCAAACCTTCTTCATCTTTCGTCTTCAACTGATGCAGAAAGAAGTACCAAAAACATCCGTGTACCAATAAATCACATGGGCATAGGTCCAAACTTAGTGTACCATATTTCCATTAGTTCTTGTGTTTCTTGGGTGAACAGCTATACCGGCTATTTTTCAGTGAACAGCGCCTCGTCCTCAGTGACGATGTCACCATTTCCGACGCAGCACAGGAGGATCCGAGAAGTCGTGGAGCGGGGCTTTCGGGAACGTCGAATTCAGGAACTTTTTACCGACGCGTACAAAGGACTTGTCAGCTGGGAAAGCTGGGGCATATGATCAAAAGAGGATTGTAGACTCATAGTGGATGGCCATCAATCCATTTTTATAGGGGTTGTCCTATATATATATAATTATGTATATATATACATACATACATTTATGTCAATGTATATTCATGATGTGTGGATTCCCATTCTGGGATGGATGACGACAAAGTGTATATCATCACATACCATGTGTTGATCCTGGCACACATAGTTGGGTGAGAGACGTCCAAGAGACATGGATGGGTTCAGCACGGGGTGGCACAGACAGTTGAGGGTTAAACCACTACAGATAGGGGTATAATTGTTCTCCCTATACTGTATGTGTGTGACTATGCGATATGTATATACCATATCATATATATATATGTTCCATATATTTTCTTTATGTATATTAGATATATGCACACAACCACGTTTGCCGCTTGCATGCACATGACCAAAACAGTAGGCATACAGCGTGGCCAACGACTCCTGCTGTTGCGGCTGCAGGATGAACGGCGCTAACTGATTAATGAATGGTTCATTGCCCCATGGAATAGCAATGGAGGTATTTCCTTAGTAGCGCCCTGTGTCTTCGCAATCATGCAGCTTTTGCAATGATTCACGGCCCAATGGTAGGTGTTGGAACAATATATTTGTGGCATTTCCAGGAATGAAATAAGATCTCCTAGGAGCCCATAGCTGGGAAGCTCATGGCTTCTGGATCTTTGCCGGCCGTGCGAGGACCTGGTGCCATACGGCAAGAGTTGACTCATCCAAAGGCTGATGAGGACACTCGACGATAGGATCTGTGGCGAACTGGGGTTGCGCGAAACAGCCCAGTGCCCAAGATACATACACGGGTTTCATGTGTAGAAATACACAAGTGTATTAGTTGTGTTATCTATACCATACATGTATATATATATATATCACTCTCTCTCTATATATATATATAGACATGTAGAGTGTACGTATGCACGTATCAATATGTACATACATTTTATACATATGTGCATGCAGTGAAAAAAGACAGGTAACGGTAACACAAGCACTTGCTCTCCTGCGTAAAGCCTGAACGCAGCATCCAAGGATTCCTTGCTCAGAGTCTTACACAACGAAGGTGCGCAGCTAGGAAGTGGCTAATGACCCATGATCCTGGTGGATATGTCAGTCCACTTAATCCACTTAACTGTGGGGGTGATCCCATGAATTTATAGGTTTCCACTATGAAGTAACCACGATTGGGATGAGGCTACAATTTGAACCTCCCTACGTATTTTGGGGGACGGGCAAAGGCGGTACTTTTGAAAAAGCATCGTTTAGGTGTAGGGGTCTCGCATGCACGCTAAACTGGTGAGTGGTTTCAATCTTATTTTCATATCTATATATATATATACATATATATATATATATCATTTGCACGCCCCAAAAAGGTAATTACTGATGATTCTGGAACGGGTACCAGCAAAATGCCCTTGCTCCATTCCCCTTTCCATGCAGCTATGGCCGTCCCTTATCCAGCGACAGGTCCCAAAGCCGTCCAGAATTTTCAGCCCGACATCACTTTCTACACATTGGTTCCTTGGCAGTTGGAGGTCAGAATATGTCAGGGTCAGGAAGTGGAAGATCGAGGAAGTATACGTGGCAGGTTGTTTAAAGAGGAAATGGTGATTGCATACGTGTTAATACACACAGTGTAGACTGTATACTGTATATAGAATATAAATATATATATATATATATCCATATGGAATATGCACATGTATGATTACATACACATGTATACATATGTATACATATCTATCTATCTATCTATCTATTTATTCTATTTATTCTATTTATTCTATTTATTCTATTTATTCTATCTATCTATCTATCTATCTATCTATCTATCTATCTATCTATCTATCTATCTATCTATCTATCTATCTATCTATCTATCTATCTATCTAACATGATATTATATTACATATACATATATATATATATATATATACACATAATATTATATTGTATATATCGCAACAATTTGCAGATGTACTTTCCCTTGTCGCAGGACGTGGGTATCGCCCGAGTCACCGCTGAGGTTGGAAAGTTTCAGCTTATTGACAAAGTCTGGCAGGACGACGGAATCGCTTGGAGATTTCCTCCAAAGATGACCGGATATAACTGGGACAATGGTCGCTGTGCCACAAAAAAAGACCTGGTTAATAGTGATGGTTAATAGTGGTTAATAGGCTATAAACCAACAACAATGGGAATATGACTGGTTGGTGGTGCTTTGGAACATGGCTGGATTATGACTTTCCAGAAACAGTTGGGAATTTCATCATCCCAACTGACGAACTCCATCATTTTTCAGAGGGGTAGGTAGTCGTTAGTGGGCCAGAAAAAGTATCTGAGAAGAAGCACATGTCCCAATAGCTCGGTTGGAATTAGGTGCCGACAACCTTCCAACGCAACGGTCCTGGGGTGCCATCCCCAGTACTCTAAAGATGTTTCAACTACCAACGGTCGCTGCATTGTAGGGACTTCATCTGATCGCCTACAAGAGAGAGTTGGACCATGCCTTTGGGGCCAGTCTCCGTGTTACCTACATAATATATACGGATAATTATATGGCTGTGAGTCAAAACGTTTTGGTATTGAACAGGTACTCGTGGATATCCCGTTCAATACCCCGTTCAATACCCTATTGAACAGAAGGGTCCCCATCGTTCAATACCCCCCGTTCAATACCCCGTTCAATACCCTTGTTCAATACCATTGTTCAATAAATATACAGCTTCAATTCTAGGTACTTTTTGCACAGCACCCTGCACAGCACCTTGGCCAGACTTCGCCACCGCAGTCTGGACAGCACCCTGCACAGCACCCTTCACAGCACCCTGCACAGCACCCTGCACAGCACACTATGGGCTTTCCAGCTCCGTTGCCCAGCTATGCCTCCAAAGTCAGTGGGATGTTTGTTTAGGAAATGCCCTCCGTTCAATACCCCCCGTTATCCCCCCGTTCAATACCTCCCGTTCAATACCCCCGTTCAATACCCTATTGAACAGAAGGCTGCCGCATATCCACCGGGGACCGGGGGTTTTGACTCACAGCCATATGGTATTGCACATATAATCCATCATAGATGTACGGATACACGGTATTGCCCAGTTCAGTAGATTGCACAGGCCAAGTTTCGATGCACTTTGCATCGCCAGGAAATGCCGATTTGCCCGATTTACTCAGCAAAAAAAAACAAAGTCTAGTTAGTTGGTTAGGGGTTTAGGACCTATTTGGTGCATTTAGTGCATTTGGTGCATTCAACCATCCAATTCAGTTTCTTGAAACAATCGTTGCTCATAAACTCATAGCAATCCCTTATTTTTACTGCTTGAGCAGCTTTACCACTATCCATGTTTTTTATTTTTGAAACGGACCCAAGTCACTTTTTTTGGCTATCCCATATGATATATTGATACACCCCATGATATGTCCAATAGCAATTACAAGTGTAAACAAAAACAGTAACCCAAGGCACCCATGTTGTTTGGTCGAATGCCAATTTGGCAAGGTTACATCCCCATAATATCCCCATATAGTTTGATGAATTTCTCATATAGTTTGATACTCTTATATAGTACAATATATAATATATATATACATTACATATATTCCATTAGTATATATATATATTTATATCCCATTATATCCCATACAATATAAACTACTATCATATCCCCATTATGGTTGATGAAATTCCCGATGAATCATAGCAGTTTTGAAGGCCAAGCCATGGCTTGAGCACAGCCACGGAGGACTGCTACAAGATCCTCACTGCCGCGCTGCCGAAAGCTGGGCAGACGGAGTTGCAAGCGGTGTGTGCGCTGGAACACGGGGGGCTTCTATGTCGTGGCCTGCTTCGAGGGATGGAAAGATAAAAAAACCTGTCGTACAATGGGGTTGGAACTGGTTCCCTTGGTTTAAAATGGTTAAACAGATGGATAAATCACACTTTAAATGGTTCAACATGTTTTTCTTGATAGAGTCAAACAAACCCAATTGTTCATTCAATCTTCGGATTCTTGGGTTATTGTGAAGCATGGGTGCATTTTTAATAGGCATTTTTGCCGGGTTCAACGGGAGAAACGAATCAATGCAGACCTGGTTCGATATATGTTCCCAACAGAAACGGATAATTGGCGACCAAACATGACCAACTATGAGATCCTTTGATGCCCTGTTTTGTCACCAAACTGTTTGGATCCAATACTCAAAGTAAAGTAAAGTAATGCAAGATGTCATAACTGTCATAACTCACAAGTGTCATAACTTGACTCCCACCATCTCCAAGAAACGCCGCCTTTCTCTATGGCCGATGGCGAAATGGCCAAGAACCGCTTGTGCCGAAGGTGAAATCTTGGCGGAGCTTCCCTTCTTCGGTGCTTCTGAAGATGGAATTCGCGTCCCAGGTGGGGCCGCCGTCAAGGTTTTAGTACATGGTATCAATATAATATGTTATAGTTATAATATTATATATCATATTATATATATATAGGTAATACATGTAATGTCTTATATTATATTATATTATATTATAGTATAGTATGCTATTATATTCTATTATATCGTATTACATTATATAATAGTTTACTTTATGTCAGTATTGTATTATATTAACATTGTATTATATTACTATATTGTATTATATTATAGTATTATACTACATTATAGTATAGTATGCTACTATATTATATTATAATATGCTATTAAAATATGCTATTGTATTATATTATATAATGCTTTTATATTATATAATATTATATTATATTATAGTTTAATATAGTATTATATTATATTATAGTTTTTTATTTATTTTTTTTATTTATATTGTATTATATTACTATATTATATTATATTATATTATAGTGCATTGTATTAAATTATATTATAGTATATTATGTTGTAACATGTCATATCAATTCATATTATATTATATTGTATCATATATTATATTCTATTATATTATATTATGTTATGTTTTGTTATATTATATTATATTTTATTGTATCATATTATATTATATTATATATACACATGTTTAGATGCTGGTAAAAGGGAATGATCATTCATGTTCCCAGGGCTTCAAGATGATTTAAGGATTTATATACCCACTATGTTTGGGTTCCGGCGCCAACCATCCATTGGTCCACCATTTGGTTGTTTAAAGATTGGAGATGTCTATGGAAGATTCATCTGGAGTCCCTAACAAAACAGACACGCCAATCTCATGGTGTCGCGACTACAAATTGGGGATGCGACATGGATAATCAGCATATCCACTATCGGGTGACATACTGATGGTGCAGCCCAGCAATACTAGAACTACAAAAACAAACACATATGCATCCATATGCTGATTTTGGCAGAGATTGCTTGTTGCAATTCTTTTACACAAAATCTTGAATGGGTCCCACTGTCCATCGCCTGCTTTGGACGTATTTGCCAGCATTGAAGTTGGTCAAGTCTTACACTAGTTGTCAACATTAGCTGGACAACATATGCCAGCTCAGTTTCTGGAATCAATGAAAATAGTTGGAATCTGACTCTCAACGTTGGTTTTCGGATTCAGGCTTCTTTGCCAAAGAATTGGTGCAGGAGTCTTGCCTGCAAAAACGCAAGGCCTTGTTGGGCACAGCAGGTGCACCTGACAGCAGCATGCTCAGCACACCAAGGATTTGATGGACACGCCCGTCTTTAAGGGTGGCCGTCAATGTGTCCCTTGGCGGCCGAAAAAATCAGATGGCCTGATGTTCACAGTGCAGACCAACACAGGATATGTTGAAATGTTAGGAAATGTTCATTTGTCCATGTCGTTGAGATGTTTGATGATGTTCACTTCTTTCTTGTTTTTTTCCTCTCACAGCTTTACTGCCACAACATTTTATTTGGTTTGGCGAAAATTGTGCATGTTGTAGTTGTAGTTCACACATTAAAATCCAGTGTCATCCAGTGTCATCCAGTGTCATAGTTTCTATTGATCTTAACTTCAGGCTTCCTCCCATCACATGGGTATGGGTCAATACCTATAGATACATTTTTAGTGGGATGAACATCCATTTACCAGCTATTTTGGGGTTCACTAGGTACCAGGGTTTTGACCCATAGCCACATGTTTTGTCAGGTGAAAGACCGACATAGCTATTGTCCGGCCGGACCCGGCGCTTTGGAACCTTGACCAATTGGCCAACGGTTGGCGCTTGGAAACTCTGTGCAACGTCCCAGCACAGATGAAGTTTCAACTTCAACCTCTGTAGCTCTGCTCTACTATTATATATAATATATATATACACATACAAGTACATACTGTAATATATATATATATTTATGTGTAGCTGTATATATATATATATACAATGTTTTACACTACTATATATATATATACAATAATTATACGCTAATGGACATATATATATATGCATACACACTGATGCAACTTGCAAGACATTTTTTCTTACAGTATATAAAGGGTTGTCGATCATGCCTCCAGTTTCAACCTGGATGGCCATTGGAGCATAGTATCAGTACTCGGGGGTACAGTTTCACTAAGTGGGTTGTATAACCATAGCTGTAGGTATTGTCAAGTTAGGATTAATAAGACCCCCCTAGTCCTAGTTAAACACACACCCGGATTTCTCCTCGATTTTGGGGCAATACGATTTTGCAAAAATCGGTTGTTTTCCACCCCAATAATGGACGCATCCCCCAGTTAAATACACCCATCCGGAACTCCTGGATTTTTGTCTGTACTAGTTTAGTATTAACCCCTTTTACTCTTAATTGGGGTTTCATTTTCCAGTGTTACTTACTGACCCTTCCCTATATCCATCTTATCCCTTCTTTGATTCTTATATCTTTCTGGTGCAGCTAATTCAAATACAATTGACACCTCATTGGTGCTTACTTGCAACTAATTCCAGCAACATGGAGTCATCATCAATGGACGGAGGTTTGATTATTTCTGGGTGGTGCTTTTGACCTCCCTACTGCACCTTGATGACCTCTCGTTGACCTTGTAGGGGAGGGTCCCAGGTTTATTCATCCGGGGTTGACACTAACATACACTAACTATATCCCAACTTATGATAGTTATACCCATTAAGCCCAAGTGCAAACCCAATTATATATATATAGAGTCCCATTCTGAGAAAAGACTCCAACTATCATTTTTTCTGGTGCTCAAGTCCGTGCATGAGGAAGGCTTACGGCTGATCTGTGGATGTCGTGTCCACAAACGAGAAACTTGGACCAATATAGCATAAGATAGCCATGGTGTGTGATGACCCTATGTGACAGCCACAATCTGATGCGCATCCATTTTGGTGTCCATGCTATTTTGAATACTGAATGAACATACAGTGACATACAGGTTACAGGAGTATGGCATAGCAAAACTGATGTTCATCCAATTCTCGTCATCCATCATTATCTATCGACTACTCAAAATTGCTCCGCCAAACTGTTATGCGCCAAGACCCGCATCCATTCAAGGGGGCCCTAGACAGCTACGTTGGTTTATAACTAGCTTAATTATGGTCTATGAGTCTATGGTAGATATATCCAATTACTATAGATAATTATAGGTAATGATATTTATAATGAGGTTTATCAACACCTTAGAACAGGCGGGCCCCCACTTGCACTCACTGAACCTTTTTCATCTGGTGCTTGATGTCCGTCGACTTGAGCGACGTCCTGGATTCCCCTATGACTTGAACTCAAGATATCGACCCAAAGACACAGGCTATAGTGTTAGTAAAACAATGTCATGAACCACCCAAATTTTGGATGGTCTCTACCACCCAGAAAAACAGTAAAATTGGGGATGCTTTACTCTTGCTTTACTCACATTATTGTCCTTTCTGACTCGCAACGATGCAATTGGTTGTTGTAGTTGTACTGGATTCAAATTTTTCTTCTATCAATGGGATTGGAAGTGGATGATCAATGCCCGGGTCTTTTAATCAATCAATGTCAATCATCAGAAATCAACTCTCGAGTTTTAGTATTAAGTTGGATACAACTCACCAACTACAGAAGCTCTGAGCTTAGCAGATGTAAGGACTGAAAGTAGCAATATGTTTTACTTTGCGCACTGACGGCTGCACCAGTGGGGGAAGCCTGCATAGTATCACCTTAGTTTTCAGGTGTTCCTTTACCTGGCTACCCGAAGCCACCAAAAAAAGGTGGTTTTTCAGTTGAACAAAACAAAACTAGCATCTGAAACCAATGGCTCAGAACATTGTCCGTTGCTATGACTCTGGGATTTTTCAACCGTCATCATCCTGGTTTCAGCAGCTGCGTTCCTCCAGGAAGCTGTGCATGTGATGCGGGAGCTTTTGGCCTCTAAGCACTTATGGAAATTTGGGACTGACTTGGAAGCTTGGCAAAACTCGAACGCAGACGCTGAAATGTCGAAAATGTCAACGCTTTAGGAACAGGCCGGGGGCCCACGGATCAATCCTCACAGAACTCATCAGAACTCTTTAGTTTGTTGACAAGTAGTGATATGTCATGACATTATGTCATGATTAATCGTCTTACTTGCTGAGACAAATTTGTGCACTGTAACGTAACCATTCACGTTCACTTGAAACGCTAGAAGATTGATGTCACCTCGACTCAGGGACTGATAATTGGTACAGCTAAACAATCTCTCAGGTCATAGTTCCCCCACTAAAGTCATGGATATATTTCAGTCCAATGGACGTGTTTTCAGATTCACTAAAGAACCCGTGAATTGCGAATGAACCTCCTCGATTTTCCCGTGGATATTTTTGTCCAGCCACATCACAGGGATCTCACAGCCACTTCAAAGTAAGGTAGTAGGGATGCCAGGAGCTTACATATGCACGTATGTGGTTGTGAGAACAGAATGCAATACAGTTTTCATATATATATATGACATATGTATTTTGTCACAGACACACACGTTTCCAGTATTGTCGTTATTGTTGCAAGATGTTGCAAATGCATCATAATACATATATAACATATATATATATAAGTAAATATCATATAGATAAAATACAATGATATATAATGTAGCATAGTTGTATAGCCCCCACGCACACCCAATTTAATGCATATACACAGATAGATAGGGATACACACAGATACACACACATATATATATTATTATTATTATCATTATTATTTTTATTAGTATGATTATTATGATTATTATGATGATGATTATTATTATTGTTATTATTATTGTTATTACTATTATATGCATGCATGAATGCATACGTACATACCTACATACCCACATACCTACACACGTATATATATATATATATATATACATACCTACACCTACATACCCACATACCTACATACATACCTACCTGCCTACATACCTACCTACCTGCATGCATACATACATACATACATACTTATTTGCAGATTCTGCATAGATATTCCAAGTCGACATGTCTCCTTCAGTTGGGATAACACAACCAAGTTCACATCGATCCAAGGACTTGCATGATATTCAGTTTATGCTTTGTGAACTTCAGAAGTTTTTACATCAGGGCCAAAGCCTCCGAGACTATGCAGGACCACAGTGTTCCTGGGCGTTAGCAAGCACATGGCTTTTTCTGACAAGTGTGTATCCCTTAAACCAGGTTGTTTATCATCATGGTCCTCACTAAAATTGCCATTTGAATGGTATACCCCAATTTTCGACAAACCCGCATAGACATTAAACTTATGAGTTTAAGAATCAAAGGTGGTCATAAATAAGGTACTTTGGCCATCGATATCCTAAAGAAATGACTGTAACTATAGATATCCTGAAGAAATATTATTCCTTAGTTTTGAGATGTTCATAGCAGTGGACCCAGAGTTTTGTGATCTCCATCGGCTCTGATATCCTCATGTCCCAGCGCATGGCTTGAGGTGTCATTGGCTTGCCTTTGGACCCTGAATTTATCCGCCATCGCCTTGCCACTCGATGGGTATTGATTTGTTGTTGTGATAGCAGAAAAAATGAACGCCCATGAGTGACCTGGAAAATTTGTGAAGGCATTTTGATGGATTTTGTGGATGCGTATTATATTCTACATAGGTATGAACAAAACTATACATACATTACATACACATTGAGCATATTATGTTGTGTTCCAAACGCCCACACATATGGACCACATGTGTGTGTGTAGGAAACATAGATAAGGTTGGATTAGACTAGATCTTATTTGATCAAATTGTGGATTTGATCAGATTAGACTATATAGATTGCAGAAGATTAGACTAGATAGACTAGATAGATCTATGTTGCAAGGGACTGACAAGATTGGATGGATGTCTATGGATGGATGGCTACAGCTGGATACAGATGGCTACAAATGGCTACCCTTTTAATCAAGTGCAGTTTCATGAGGTTGGGTTGATGCGTTGCTGATTGCACAATTGCACATTGTTGGAGGCTTAGGTGTTTGACAGTTTGACATGTTACATTCTCCATCAAGGCACAGATCACATGTTGAGGAGCGAAGGACTGTCTAACTCTAAGGATTTATAAGTGCTAGTTCTGCAATTACACCTGCAGTTGCTACGGAAGAAGTACAAAAATTTTCAGCAGATTGTGACTGCTTAGTTCTAGAATGTTCTAGAGACTTAAACAAGTAGATATGAGTAACCGACAAAATTATTGTAATACTAATTTAGTTTTGCTTCGCCTTGGCCTTTCCGAGGTTGCACAAAACCTTCATAACCGATAGGGGACGACCCTATACCGATACCCCATTTGTGATACCTCCGGGAATACTGAAATCCTCACAACCGATAGGGGACGACCCTAATTTGTGCATGGCATTAAATTTAACATATAGTTTTGTCTGCTGCTCATATGTATTATGATTAACATAGTTCATAATTATGATATGTTAATGTAAATTATAGTTATTTAATTCTCAACAACTTCTGATTATACAGTTCACGATTCTACCATAGAGGAATAAACATCCACAACTGAAAGCTGTTTGGCAAGGAAGTACAGGGGTTTCCATGCATTCCAGTGGAAGATTTGCCCAGGAAGACGCAGTTCTGCTGGGTCTTGTGGCGAGTGCAGATGAGACGGCGCCGCTTGAAATGCAGATTGCGGAGACTTCGATGACATCACCATAGATGATGACAGGGATCATGATCCCAATGATATCCAATAATGACATCCAATGGTCCAATAGTGATTTATATTTCTAGTTACTTCTGATGTTTGAATTGCAAGAAGTGTTTGGATATCTATGACAGTCAAATAAGGAGCAGGTGAGAATATTCTGAGAGGGAACGGTAGTTGAGGCGCGAACCGTTTAATCTTGTTAGTGAAGCCCCGACATACCGTTTGAACGATGGCACTGTTTTGCCAACACGGTCAAACCCTTCCATGGCGATATCAATATCAATATCCAAAGCATCACCATGTGTATATATACATACATATTAGCCACGGTCAAAATGGTTGAAGACTACTTTAGTATTGCAGGAGTTTTTTGTCAGAGATGTGCACGAAACACTGTAAAGCGATAGGCCCCCCCCCAAAAGCGATAACCTGGGACCATACACGACAGTCCATTAAACTTGGCGTAAACCAAGCAAATACTGTTGTGCACATTCACAGAACGGGCAAAATCGATGAGGGAAATTCAACCTGTGGTGCCCTGTTTCCTGCAGTTACCATAGCATTTAGCATCCAACTCACTCGCTCTCTTTCTTTTTTTTTCTCTCTCTCTCTCTCGCTTTTTTTTTGTCTCTCTCTCTCTCTCTTTCTCTTTGTCGGTTTGTGGCACATTTCCTTCGAACAATGTCATATGTTGGAGGGGTTATTTAGCAATAACCTTAGCAATAACTTTGCGATAGCCATTTGTTGCGCTCGGTTGTTTGGCCAAGCCATAGAACCATTCCATAACTTTAGAAAGGACATGAACGGACATGAATGCAAAATGAAAGGAAAATGCGTGCAAATGAAAGGAAGATGAGAGGACATGAATACACATTGGAATGAAAATGAAAGGAATATGAAAGGAAAATGTTGGACATGAATACCAATGAAAGGAACACGAAAGGAAATGAATGCACAATGAAAGGAACATGCATGCAAATGAAAGGAAACTGAAGGAACATGCATGCAAATGAATGCAACACGAAAGGAACATTAAGTGTTGCCGAAGCACCTGAAACCAACAAAGCAACTGCTCGATCTATTTCCGAGCCTGTTTAGGAATGGATTTTGGCTTCATGTTGGATCTCGAATATGCTGATTTCCACAAAACCTTGGAAAGTGATAGGGCCCCCCAAAAGCGAGAACCATAACAATAGCAACTACTCAGATGTAAATGAATTTGACAGGAGCTCATATGTATATATTCTTCTCTTTATATACATATATAGATCTATAGTATACCTAATCTAAATTGGTCGGTCAAACAGTACTTGGTTAATTGGACATGTCATGTTTACTCTTCACACATGACGTTATCACCTAAACGTCTCTACCCCGTTGCGTAAAGCAGTCCGGAAGGCATTAAGGCTGCCTCTAAACATCTCTACAAGTTGTGGCCCCCAGTTATAAGACCCCCAAAACCATAGGTTTCAAAGCTAAAATGGTTCTAATTTTGGGTGATTTGGGTGCATTCCCATGTTGGGAAACATGGTGTTTTTGCGATCTAAACCATACAGCCATGGTTTTTTAACGCTTCGGAGGATCGCTGCGCAGCTGTCAGAGTGGATGGGATTTCGACTACCTCTTCCCAAAGATGATCGCATTCGGAGCACCTCGCCGATATTTCCAAATCCTCCCTGACATATTTAGGATACTTAAAGGACGTCCTGTATATGTTTAGATGGATAGATGGATAGACAGATTTCATTGTTTATACATATATATAATATATTTTATATATTATATATATATATACATACATACATATTATATATATATTAATTATATTATATACATATTTACATACAACATATTTGAAGATATTTGAAGTGTATAGACATGTACGGAACATGACGGATGGCTGCTGTCAGGGGTTGCATCCTTTTTTGAAATTTGTATATCTATGTGTATATGTACATGTGTATGCATGTATGTTTATATATATATATATTGCATATGTATACACGCATAGCATTGTATTGTACAGAGGATCTGGTTCTGATTTTTTCTACCCGTTCAAAGGGCCAATCAGTTTGGCTGCTCAAGGTGGGGACCACGTGATTCTCAGGAAGGTGAAGGAACCTGTATGTCCCTTGGACCAAAGTCACAACGGGCAAAAAATGTGGCTTCATTTTTGAGTCTGATGATTCCAACTTCGACTTAGTTCACTTAGATATGATTGAACCATAGTAATAATAGTGGTTGATAGTGATGGTTAATAGTGGTTAATGGGCTATAAACCAACAACAATGGGAATATGATGGTGATCTGGTTGGTTTGGAACATGGCTTTTACTTTTCCATATATTGGGAATGTCATCATCCCAACTGTCATATTTTTCCGTTGAAACCACCAACCAGACCAATAATCACATATCCTGGAAGTTAGTGTCTTTCGAACTTGTCGTGTTGGATTGCCAGAGCGAACTTGAGCAGAAGGTCTTAAGGCAGGTCAGGATGGGCACTAAAATGATTCCTCGCAATCAGTCGAACTACGTGTACTTATTCATAGTCTGAAAATAGGTACCCGAAATTTCATGGTTTTTCATCATTTTCCCAATTTCAGTTGCAACAAAATGGGTATACCCATTTTCAGGTGAACCCATTTACCATGGTAGCTGGTTCGTGGTGTCAAAGATATATCGCTGTTTTGGGGATGCAAGCCCGTGCCAGGGCATGTTTTCTGAGGTTTGCTTGAATTGCAGGAGAATGGAGAACTGGGCCCTGCAAAGGATAACCCCACGCCCTTCAGGGTTGAACTGCCACGGCTTTCGCAGCCGTTGCGCAGCCTGGCAGCACCAGCACGGAGACCACTTGGACCATCATCAGAATATCATGGGAATATACCAAACATAACGGAGATACAAAACCAACACTATGATACATGGGTTGACCGTATTTTTTTCAATCATGATGTATATCCATGGCATTGGCCATTTACGAACGTGGAGTAGTTGAATGCTGGAAGTTTGACTTTGGCTTGTTTCAGCTTGTTAAATCATTCTTGTATCATTAAAATACGATTTTTTATGATCGAAGGAAGTTTCGAAGACAAAGTTCTGACAATATGGACAGATGATAGATGGAAAAGCAGAGGTGGGACGAGTCAGAGAAGAGAAGAGAAGAAGAAAGAAGATCAGAGAAGAGAAAGAGTCAGAAGAAAGAAGATTTAGGTGCGCAAAAAGGTACAAAGGTCGCAAAACACTGTGTTACGACAGTGAAGATCCTAAGAAATCACAGTGAGTGGACGCAAGTGAAGCGAACGGAAAATGAACTGAAGCGTCGTGAGTGTCTGAGGTTGTTTGATGAATGTTGTCATTTCAATCGTGATTGGATTCACACCGAGATGAGGCAGCGGCAAGCGGCCAACGCTCGCGCCAAAGAAGAGTCGCATGCGGCAGAATGGCAGAGATGGCAGTGACGACGTGTGTGCCATTTTGCACCAAGCCAAATGAAAATTGGGACGCATGCCGTGATGCGCACCACTTCGTACCGATGTCTCTTGCTTGATCTCTTTTGCAATGGCTTGAATGCGTGCCAGACATTTTTCGTAGCTCTGCTGCCGTGTCTGTCTTCTCTGCTGACAGCTTGTTTGATGTGGCGCACACATGCACTCCTTTGAAGCCTTGTCTTTTTCAGGATCACTCCACCCAGTTTCCTTAGAAACATGCCGTGTCTGTCTTTTCTGACGGCACAAAAACCGGTGCTTGACGCCTTCGGTTGCCGTTGTCTCTCAGGCAATTTTCGTACTTGTCTGTTCTGAAGGTACGAATTCATGGACAGTGTTGTTTACGCAAGCAGCAGGGAAAAACGTTTGAGCCGTACAGCGGAGGGATCATGTCAAAGTGATACAGTATATCTCACCATCAGAAAATTAGATATCACATTCCCCAACCGATTTGAAACAGCGGAGTCTCAAACAAGAACACTGTTCTGTTCCAAATGTTTTTTGTGTGAAGTCAGATTTTTTTTCGAGGAAAGGCCTTACTTGCAATGAGCAGATAGATAAACTGCGCAAAGACTCAACAAATAAAAAAAATGGATGTGCATTAGGTGAGCAAAGATAAAAAGGTGGAATAACAGATAGGTAGACGTAGATGGAAAGACACGTATAGCTAGATAGACAATATAGACAGACAGATAGACAGCTAGACTGATAGATAGGCAGATAGATAGATAGACATGTCGGAGGACAGATAGATAGATGAAGGGATGGATGGATGGATGGATGGATGGACGGACGGATGGATGGATGGATGGAGAGGTAGATAGAAAGACAGAAACATTGACAGATAGACAGGGAGATAACAAAACGGATAGGTAGACAGATGGATACATAGAAAGAAAGATGGATAGATAGACAAATGGATAGAAAGATAGGTAGACAGATAGACAGATGGACAGGGATAGATAGTTAGATAGATGGATGAATGGAGATATGGATAGATAGGAAGATGGGCAACCCGGCAATCCAAGCATTTGTTGGACCATCAGTGGTTTTTGCTCTGGCATCCGTGATTCGCAACAACCAACCTCTCCTTATAGGTATCCTATTTTTGAAACTTCCGCCACCGCCTTGCGCGGTACTAATGGTATTATATATGCGCAAAAAATATTTTCAGATCCGGCCGGCAAATTGTTGTGCGTGTTCGTAAATATAAGATTATGCGTATGTTGTACAGATACTATCTCATTCCCCCAATTTTCTCCACCACCAATCTGTAAAATGTAACATGAGAATTGCACATCATAACATCCAAATTGTTTGCTAATGGTTTGAGCTTATATCCCTATGGATCCAAGTACCTTCTTAGGAAGTGTTTGGGGTATAATTTACTATAATTTGGAGAGTTAAGTACCTTCTCAGACAGTGTTTGGATCCATAGGGATTTGTCGGAATAAAGAAACGTCAAGAGACTGGAAAATAGGTTGACGCAATCTGGATGTAGTGTTCCTCGGCTCAGATATCATGAGGAACCCCACGGATTGTGGTTCATTCCCCTTTGGATGTTGATATCTCATCATGAAATCTATGCTCTTTTTCCACCCCCAGTTGGCCTCACAAAGACGGACATTTACCTTTACTTGTGCAACCACAAACCCCTTGACATACATTAGAAAGTTCCATACACACTAGACATAAGGACATAAGTTATAGACAGATATAGGCATACATTAGACGAACCCCCATGAAAATCACCGCTTCACCCCCGAGGTAGCTGCGACATGGCCTTCCTTCGTGCTCCCAACGGTGCGCACCTGGGCCCGGTGTCGCAGTTCTCGGCAGTGCAGCGGGGTGCGGGGCACCCGGAACTCTTCAGCGCCCACCCTGGGTCGGATCGTTTCGCCTATGCGAGACAACTCACGGTGCCATGGCCGGCGGTTGGGGAATGTTGGGGATGGTGGTGACTGGAATATCCTTGGAGTGGGGATTCATGGGGATGCTGCGGGATGCTGTTTTTTTCTGACCTTACTTATTGTTGAGTTGATTGTTGATGTTTCAATCGTTTCGGATTGCTGTTGCAACTCTCTTCTTGCGGGCATCTGCAATTTGGGTGGCTTGAGTGGTTGGCTTTGTTTGTCTGGTCTTGATTGATGTGGACTGAAACTGATTGATTGTTTTGGTTCATTTGGTGAACAGACTGATTTGTAATGAGTGACTTGCGTCCGATGCTTCAATCAATTTATCCCTACTACAGGGATCCAATATGGTACAGTAAGCATATTGTCGGGCAGAAGTGTGTGGGGATTCATTCCCTCATCCATGTTGCATGCTTTTGGATATCCCGCCTTCCCAGCGCAGTATTCTTGGATCGATATATCCCCTTGTTGAGCAGCAGGTACGGATTGGTGACATGCAAATACTCCGATGCTGCCATGGCCGAAAGTGTTTTATCCCTAAGGGGGTATGTATAACCACTTGTGCCATTGTCAAACATTGGATTATACGAGATTGTATACCCACATATTGCGGGATGGTCAACAAGATGTTCACATTCACATGATTCACATGTGTCATCAAATAACCCATTAGCTGTGGTTTCCCATTTTTGGATGGATGACCATACCATGTATCCATATAACTTGACCATAGCACACATGTTTGTCTTCTTCAGACCAGCAGCCTTGGTTGCGTCGCCTAGGTGAGGAAGGTGGGTGGAGGAGTGCTGTTGTGATGGGTGGATGGGATGCGGAAACCAGGCGCTGCCGCTTTGTTTCCGCGGTGTTTCTGCATAGAGCAAGGTGGAAACCGTAAAAACCTGCTGACTCATCATCATCATGTTTCGTAGATAAATTTCAACCATTTTCAAACTTTACCAACATAGCGAACATCCTGCAAATTGAAAGAAGGGTCCACCGGCTTCCTCCCTTAGAAGCCTCTTTTTGGTGATGCAGATGGTGTAGACAAAAACAGACGAGTTCCAGACAGGATGAGATGATTTTCAGCGAACGGTAGGTGATATGAGGCCACAATTCTTTCATAAACACATGGTCCGTGTCTGGGAAATAGGGTGTTTATTCAAATGGAATATAAATGACAAACAAACGGCAAGAAATGATAGCCAAACGCACAAAAACACATAGACAAAGCCAAGCGGAAAAAACATGACATATGACAAATAACCAAATGACAATAGCCAAATGACAAATAGCCAAATGACAAAGAAAGGACCAAACAATGACAACATGAACCAACAGAATCAACCTGATAGTGTCTGGGTCATGATGTCAGCCTAGATAACAAGAGTTGTCAAAATTACACACCCTACAAGTTGCGGAGAGAGAATCCGTGCCGGCTTTGGACCGGCAATGGATTCGATGGGCTGGTGTTTGTCAATTCCTTGTGGACTCAAACCACCTAATTGTAATTTCTTGCCCCAAAACGCACATAAAAGTGAACAGAGGTTAGTAAGGGCCCATTGCACTCGTTGCATACCTACATGTTTCAGAGTGAAACGTGATACTATTCTCGTGAAACAGACTTTGAAAGGCATTGTGGTGGTTCCGCAATAGTAGTAAAGCCATATAACGCCAAATTAGATATATACTAGTAATATATAAATTAGAATTCGGGTGTTTTTTTACGTTTTGAAAAACTAGGTTTTGCCCAATGTGGTACCAAAGCTTTTGCGCCAATCCATGCGGCTGGTGGCCAGCCATGGGCTCACCCCAAGGCTGGGCCACTTGAACCCCTGTGGCTCTGGTGGTGCTGCTCCTCCTCCACACTCTTTGCTTCGGATCAAAATGATAATCATCATTATCATCATCATCATCACCACCGTCATTGTGATCATCACAATCAACATCATCATCATCATCATCATCATCATCATCACCACAACCATCATGATCATCATGATCATCATGATCATCATGATCATCATGATCATCATGATCATCATCATCATCAACAACAACATCACCAACATTGTAATCATCATCATCATCATCACCATCCTCATCATCATCATCACCATCATCAGCATTTTTTCATTAGCACCATCAGAATCATCATCATTTTCATCATGTTCATCTTCATCATCATCACCATCATATTCATTTTCATTATCATCGTCATTACCACAGTCATCATCATCATTGTGATCAACATTATGATTATCATCGTGATTACTTCAACCATAATCATCTTAATCATCAGAATGACCATAATCATAACCATCATTGTCATCAAAATCATCATCATGACAATGATTACCATTGTTTTCCAGCATCACCATCATCAATTTCATTTTTCACCGTTATCATCTTAGCCATCATCATCACCAACGTCATCTTAATCATTTTCATGAAAACCATTACCCCTATGTTCATCCGCTTCATTTTATGTCTTGCTCATCATCATCATCATCACCATCATCATCATCATCATCACCATCATCACAATCATCATCTTCCTCATCATCGTAACCATCGTCAAAACCACCATTATCATCATGATCATTTTCATCACTATCATCATCATGTTTATGGTCATCGTCGTCTTCAACATCTCGGCAACATCATCATTACCATCATCATCATCATGATCAGTAGCATCATCCTCATTTTCACCATTATTGACATCGTCATCATTATCAAAACCAACATGATAATCATAATCATAAACATCATTATCACCAACAACATCACCAACATCATGTCAATCATCACCATGTTTTCATCACCCATCACAACATTCATCAACATCTTTAACATCATCATTACCTCAGTCTGCATCATAATCATCATCATTTCTTCCGTCATTACCATAGCCATCATCATCATCATCATCATCAACGCCATTTCTTTTTAATTATTCCATCATGACCATCGTCCTCATTATCATGTTGTTCGGCATCATCACCTTCGTCATCTTTTTCACCACCATCACCTTCATCATCATCATCATCGCCATCATCATCATCATCATCATCATCAACGTCATCGACATCATCATATACTTATGGTCATCAACATCGTCATGATCATGATCATCATTGTCATTATCCATCCTCATTCCATCGCGAACATCATGATCATCATTATATTGCCATCATCATCGTCATCTTCTTCATCATCATCACTTTTGTCATTGTCAGCATCATTACTATCGTCGTCCTGCTCCTCATCCTCCTCCCCAGTGCCAACGCAATTATCATCATCATCAGCATTAGCATAAGAACAGTTATCATCAACATGAATATCATCATCATCGTCATCAATATCATCATCGCTATCAAGATCACTATGATAATCAACGTCCTCCTCATGATCATGTTTCACATGATGGTGATCTTTGTCGTCACCAACATCTTTGTCATTTGTACTGTCATAATTAGATTATTATCATGACCGGCATCATCATCATCATCAGCAGCACCATCATCAGCAGCAGCATCATCATTATCCTCATCATTGTCATTGTCATTGGCATCACCCACCATCCAGTATTTATCATCCAATATCCAGG